CGCGGAAGTCGAACGCTCCGTTGTGGTTGAACACAAAAGGGGCTTCCAAAAGGCTGCTCGTCAAACTCGGCTTCTTGCTCCCGGATTCGACTTTTCTTCCATGCATGTGGAGAAAGTCGTCCGCTTTGGGAGGCTAGTCAAGGAGGACGATGCCGACGACAGTTGTGGCGGGGATGCTTCAGCCTCGGCCGCCTTTGTAATAGCTGGATTTATTTTTCTTTGGCTTGAATTGATGTACCGAATTTTGAGGACTTTGTTTGTATATATGTATTTTGTTCTATCTTGTCCGTGTTTGCGTTCAATTTTGGCTGTTCGCGCTGTTTGAGGCACGTGGTTGGGGTCTGCTATATGCTTCTGTATATGGTGATACTTCTACCTTGAGTTGGTGAAGTCGAGATTCGAGGTCGGCCTTAGTTTTTGTTTAGTAGGACTCTTTGTGGGAGTTCGAACCCGGTTGTAAATGAATGTGTTAAGATGTGTATTCGACCTCGAATTTTGACTAAGTAATTGTTGTGAAAGTTTGTAAATGACCCTAGACTGGAGTCAAAGTCCGAATTCGACCTTAAGTTGGTCGTGCCGGGGTTTGAATTCGACCCCGGTACTGAGAGTGGGGTGTGCTTTGCCAGGGTTCAAAGTCGTCCTTAAGTTAGCGGTTCGTGCTCGACCCCAGATTATCGTGTTCGAGGTTCGTGCTCGACCTCGCTTTAAAATGAACAACACAATTAAGGTTCGAATTCGACCTTATCCTTAGAGTCCCGAGGTTCGTGCCCGACCCCGGATTATCATGTTCGAGGTTTGTGTTCGACCTCGCTTTAAGATGAACAACATAATTAAGGTTCAAATTCGACCTTATGCTTAGAGTCCCGAGGTTCGTACTCGACCCCGGATTATCATGTTCGAGGTTCGTGTTCGACCTCGCTTTAAAATGAACAACATAATTAAGGTTCGAATTCGACCTTATCCTTAGAGTCCCGAGGTTCGGGCCCGACCCCGGATTATCATGTTCGAGGTTCGTGTTCGACCTCGCTTTAAAATGAACAACATAATTAAGGTTCGAATTTGACCTTATGCTTAGAGTCCCGAGGTTCGTACTCGACCACGGATTATCATGTTCGAGGTTCGTGTTCGACCTCGCTTTAAATAAGATGTGTTGGCGTGAACTACCACATACTTAACCGAAATATCTCGGTATTCTGATCCTTCAAACCCAAACCGGGTT